TTGGTAGTGACCAGTTCTGATGCATTTGACAGTTCAGCAGCTTTCAGTCAGTCTTGGCAGAGGACACTAATTATTAAACTGTAACAAGGAAGTAAATTATCAGACAGAATTTTTTTATCTGAGGGAACAAAGGGAAGGAGAAAAAATATATATAAATTTGTGACTAATGAAAGACTGAAGAGCCATGGATTCAAAATGCCAATGGGTTAAAAAATTCACTAGTAAAGACAAGCAGAAAATTAGAATGTCATTGCAATCTGAGACAGAAAACTCCAACAACTCAAAATGGATGCTACAAAATCAATTCATATTTGCTTAGAAACAGAAGCTCACAAGATGGACAGTGTTCTGATACTATAGAAATGATTAATTAAAAATAAATAAAAAGAAATAAAAGACTGCAAGAAATATCTAAGTCCTAATGATATGAAGAATCCAGACAAGCAAAACTAATGCAACCTCTGTGCTGTGACAACCAAATGAAAAAAATCCAGATAATTATGTCATTCTGCAAAAACTTCCCAGTACACCGAGGAAAGTGAATAAACATTTATTAAAGTTGAACTGGTTGCACAAAACTCTCTGCTTCGAGGAATATTATTGTCAAGACTACTGGTTTTGGCCCTGAGCTCTCTTCCATTGAGGCCCGTAGGTAACTGCTGGGCAGGGAAGACTTTCATCTGGATCATTAAAAGCAGAGCATGGTTACTCTTTGTGTTAGGTTGCTGAGAGCAGTAGTTCTGTTTAAAACATCTGGTCCTCACACATTCAGTAACTGTATCTCTACTGGGTGAGAATTTTGCTTTTGATTCCTCTTTGGAACCCTTGTATCCCTTGGTCAAATGTGTTTGTAACTGACTCACATATCAGAAAAGAATTTGGGAGCAAGAGAAATGCCGTGTAAAGTTCTGTGTTAAAAAAATGCTTGAATTTAAAATGCTCAAAGCTTTCAGATTTGCTCACTATTTATACTTGAAAGGTATGTGACATATTTCTCCTTCAAGCAAAGAGTTACAAGAGTATTAGATGTGAGCTCTGGTGACCAGGTTTATACAACAGGCAGTAGTGGGCTACCTGAAACTTTGATTCTTGTGCCCTTGTAATCATTTTTCTATTCAGCTGAGGAATTAAATCTAGTGATTTAATTTCTTTGACCTTCAGTTTCCCTGTTAGTAAAATGTAGATAATGTTACCTAGCCAGCTTTGACAGAAGTGTTAAGAAGAATGTATGGATTCTTATTTCTGGAACCAGTATTTCAATATTTCAGTTTTCCATTCGCTTATGATGATTCATAGCAAATTTTCAAACATGTATCAATAGATCATAAGATAGCTAATTCTTTTCAAACTATTTGCAGAGGGTTATAAATTCATGTTTACTTCAAGAATTGTAAGCATATTATAACATGTAAGAGCTGTATCAATATAATTTGTTTTACAAATAAAAGGAACTTTTAGTGATTGGCTAAAAATTTTCCAGATAGTAAGTATTCAAACATTCAGTCTTAACCTTCCAATTATACCTCTTTCCAGTGTGAAGCTCCATAAAAATAATAAACTGCATTGTTATTGTTATGCTTCCTGTTAGTATCTCCTGCTTGGTCAATGTGTATTTATCAAAGTCCTTGTCTTGTTGATATGTGACTGCTGAAGCATTGTGGTGGCTTTTGTCAGATAATGCAGCTGTCTTGAACTCCCACATATAAGAAAAAATACATCTATAGCCCTTTGAAGAACTCTTATAAAATGTTTCTAATTAGACACATATAAGAGAGTGCCAGAGGGACTTGTTCATTGTCACAGATCTTCAGAGCTGAATTTCTGCAACAATTTGCTGAAGCACATAGACAACAAGAGGCATTTATGACTGTATGTGAGATAAGAGATGTGCTAGATCTGAAGCATCAGAAATAAGAAACAGTGGGAAACAGAAACATCCTTGTATTTCAAGACAACTAAATTTAGTGTATATCCACAGCATTCAGGCAACAAATACTTAATATAACGTTCAAAAGGAAGCAGTTTAAAGCATACTTTTACGAGAAATTTTTAACCTTATCTGTAGTTCAGTATGAACAGATGCTCGTTAAAAGAGTGTATCTAAATGGCAGATAAACTTGTCATTTTTTGGTGATAGACTAGACAGTGGAAAAGAAAAGTTTTGCTTCTTCATGTAATAAGGTTCTCTGCTGGGACAAGCAGGTCCCATGTACCTTGAAGTGTTCTGTTGAATGTGCTGTGCATGATGAGCTTTTTAACCAGCTGTCGCTTACATGCAATGTGACAAGTTGTGCCATGAACAGCCAATCTAATGAAACCTAGTTTCCAGTGTCTCTCTCCCTAATTTTTTCCCTTCATGTTGACTGGTAGATGATGATCTTGTAAGTCTTTCTGTGTATAAGGATTTAATAGAGTGTCGATTCCCATTTGTAGTCCTCTTTTTATGAAATTTGGTAAAAAAAATCCTCAGATCTTCTATGGTTTTGTCCAGTTTGCTTAAAATTGTTCTGAAGCACAAAAGATCTTTCAAGGGAACAGACATTGCACATAAATACTACTTTTTCAGTCTCATTTTTTTGAGAAACCAGTCTAAACGCAGTATTTAGAATTTTCACTATAAGAAATCCACATGTCAGAAGGACTACTTGTATTAACTCCATCAGAATATATAACATTGCAGTATTAATATAATTGGCAAAAAAACCAGCAAGTTAAAATGCTGCAGAAAATGCAGCAAAAATGCCAAATTAAGGTTATTGAATCTAAATTAATGTTTTCCTGTCTTGTATTTATAAAGCTCCATGTTACATGTGAAGCCGGCTGTACTGTGAGCGAGCTACAGGAAAATGACATGCTCAATATACTTAATGTCTCAGAGTTGGGTTAAAAAGTATTGAATGCATTTCCCAGATTTCACAGAGTATTCTGTGCTGGAAGGGACCCACAAAGATCATGAAGTCCAGCTCTTAAGTGAATGGCCCATAAGGGGATCAAACCCACAACCTTGGTGTTATTAGCACCGTGCATCTGAACTAAGTTCCTATTTTCTAAAGTTTTATTAGGAACCCGCACTCATGGATTATCGAGGCCATCCCTGGATAAATCCCTGCAAAATCTGATCCATGCCGGTCGTGTTTTAAACAGAGATTGGACCAGGTGACTTCCAGAGGGTCCCTCCTGACCTAAATAAATCTGTCATCTGTGACCAAAAAAAGCTGACCTATAAAGTATATGTAATCTGTATGCTTTAAATTACCTGAAATTACTTCTGTATAAATCAATTCTAGCCTTTAAAGCTGTGTTAGCCCTCATTAAACCAAAACAATATTTAGCATAATTCTTTATAAATCTGTACATGGTCTATTTAATAGCTAGGCTAGCTGGCAATTATTTTGTTATCTATAAAATTAAGAAATTAGAACAGATCTAAATTTTAGTCATATTGGGTATAATCTCACTTTAGATCCTGAGAAAGGACAGAATTGTATTATTTTCACAGTATCTAGAAGATTAATGAGAAAATGGCATATTCAGTGATAGACAATGTGATACAAAACAGCACTTGCAAGAGAAATGCAAGAAGAATTCTATGTCAGTTGTTACTGAATTTAGAGAATGAGATTGTCATTCATGACAAACAATAGTTTGTCGTGTATTTCTTTTGTGGGGGATGGATAGTATAAAGTCCGAAATATTGTCTGCTTATTCAGAATGTGAACACCGAGGTGTGCAGAAAATAGTGTTTCCTGATTTGGAAATGTAGTTTATCAAGGTTTAATCAGTATAGTTTGAAGAAAAAAATGTAAGACATGAAGAATAAGTCTGTAAATCCTTTAGAGAAAGGGGGTGGTGTTACAAAAGGAGAAAATAGCTCTCATCTATAACAGAGAGGGAATAGTGTCCTATCACTCGTATTTCACACAAACACAATGCCATGTGGAATGAAATTAGCAAACGTGCAGAATTGAATTGTGAACAACTAGAGGATAGCTACAACAGCCATTAGAAAAATATTTGTAGATCCTAAAGTTTATTAGATGACAGACTAATTTGTCAAGGGAAGTTCTCAAGTACAAACATTAGATAAGAGTAGCAATAGCAGGTCAAACTTTATTATACGAGACTCTCTAGCATTATAGCAGGGGAATGTAGATTCCAGTCCTAGCACATAAGGTCTTATGAATACAAAATAGAAGCAAAATAGTGGACAGAAGGATAGAAAACATGTACTCTATTATTCATCAGATACATGAATAAGAAGTTTTGCAACTACCAATGAATATATATTGCTTAAGCATGCATCCTTCTCCTATATGCTCTAGAACAAAACAAACAAACCAGCCAAACACCCTCAATTCCCAAGAAATTAACAGTTTAAAATGCAGCCTGTTCCTTGAGGGTGTTGAATAATTATGAACTATGCTTTGGAAAGTCACAAAATATGTTGATAGAGGCAGCTGTCAGGACCGAATCCCTCCATATTCTGTAGAAATGCTGCAAAATAGCCTATATATAGAGAGATTTATTTTCGTCAGGTTATATATATGTTTGGTTTGTTGAGGCTAAACCTGAAGTGTTGCAGAATCCAGTGCCTAATTCAATTAGACTGTTATTTAGTAAGTTATATTTGAATAACCATTTGAATAAACAGCTTTGCACTTCTAATGCATAATTAAGGTTACGTGTCTCTATATTGTAGTATTCCCCATTAGAACAAAAATAAGAGATACAGAATAGTCTCAAATCAAATGTAAGATCTATCAACTGTTTTCTGAGATAGATTTTCTGGTCTGATTAAGTACTCACTAGGTCACTCTGAACTGTGTCTGGGAAAGGGAAGAATTTATTCATGATTCTATTTTACGTATAACATTTTTATCCATATGCACCATATTTATAGTCTGGTTTTGTCTTGGGCTGAACTAGTGGTCTAATGAACTAAGTTTAACTCAGTTGATAGTGGAATTGTTAATGCAGTGTTTCTCTCTTCCTCCCTACAGTATGCTGGCTGGCTGGTTCTTTGGGTTACGTGGAACGTGTTTGTTATCTGCTTCTATTTGGAGGCTGGGGACCTTTCAAAGGTAATTTACCATTGGATAATTCAAGCCATCAGCACTTTGTTAACAATGCCCCAGTCAACAACAGACTGTGCTCTGTTTTACTCATCCTTTTTGTGTTATCAGAAGGAGTATAGTAGTATGATGGAAATTTGGAATATTCTGGAGTGTTAGAAATTTTTAAACTAGAAAGTAATGAGCATATGCATTCTGATGCCCACAAAAATAATAGTATATATGTTTTAAAAGAAAATTACTTCTTTTTGCCCCTCTCAGTAATCTTGCAGTGCAAATTTCACCCCTGTGAGAGACATTAATTAATACTCTCATGAACACAAAACATTGCCATCTCAGGGGTAAACAAATATTTATTGTACCATTTAGCTTGCTGTTACTTAGCTGGATTCAATTCAGGCTTCTTATATCATAGCATAACAATTACAAAAGAAGGGGTCTTTCATTAAATCAAGTTGTAAATGGAGATGCCAGAACAGATTGCCTTTTGGCTACAGCAGTGATTTTTAAGTTTGTGCTTATGGTAGTAATGCTATGCTTGAACACTTATACACAGTAAAAATCCATAGGAAAAATATATTTTCCCAAGAATTACATATTTACAGGGTTTTATTGACACTGCAAGTGATAACACGTAAAGTGGCAGTTGGTAATGGCTCAATCCAACATTTCACCCAAAACTTCTACTTTCTAAGGTGTTCCCAGAAAGCTGGCAATTTGTGGGATAAAAGATTAGCAGTGGCAACAAATTATTTTTTTAGAGTAATACACTTCTAAATATTTTTGCCTGTGCTGAATTATGCTCACAGTGCTATGAGCTGACCATCAAGGAGAATCTCATGAGTCAAACAGATCACATTCCATTCTTGACTTAGATTTTCAATAGGGAGTTTAGCCCAATTGTAAATTAAAGATGTAATTCTCTGATCCTTTGTGAGTTACTGATATCTTATGATACAGAAAGTTAAACATAATTATAGGAAGAATAAATGGGGCAAAGATACTTCCTTACCTGTATTTTGTTTCAAATCACCCCCAGTGTACAAAAGCTACGAGAGACAAGGATACTTCATCCCCATGTATTCTGTTTCTTCAAAAGATACTGACTTCAAAAAGGATCAGAATTTCATTTCCTAAGAGTGTAGAGTAATTTTCTGCAGGTAAAACATTACACTTTCTGGGGTTTATATCTTCAATCTCATTAAAAGCTTGGTAAAAAACATAATAAATAAAAGAACTTGCCTATCTTTTTTTTTTTTTTTGTTAAAATACCTTCTTTATTGCTAAGTGAACTAATGTATATAACAAACTCAGCACCTGTTGTACAATTATACTCAATCCAATCCACCCTTTTTCCACCCACTTGTTTCAACCACCTGCATTCCTACAGTTGTAAATGTTGGGATGCTTATCTTGTCTGGGGAAGTGAAAGGGGATAAAAAAGAATGGAGAAAATAGAGGCAGCTGTTTGAGTACTGTGTCTTAATGGGTATAAAACCAGCTTAAAACCACTAGTAAGTGCTATTTGGAATAAAAATGGGCTACAAAAGGTACCTAAACCTTGAACTGATTTTTTTTCTGAAGTCTAGGGATGTGTCATCTAGAGTTTTCCCAACCAACCATAGAGTTCAGGCCTATGCCTGAATGCAGTTAAATTTTTTATTTGGTCTTTAGAGGTATTATTTGTTCCAGTGATATGATTTTCCTTGAAATACCCAGTAGAGTATGTTCCTTGCACTTCAACTGGCTTTCAGACCAACAGAATTGCTAAAAAGAGAAAGCAAAGGAAAAGTTCCTACAAAATGGATCCAAGAAATAGGTAGAGATCTATTCTAAAAAAGGTCTAATTCACATTTGAGGCATCACTCTCCACTCCTTTTCAACTGTATGTCAAAGCTCCTCTACATGATCGAATATTCTGCAAGATCTAGGGACTAGAAATATATGTCTAATGGAAACATACCCTCCTGTTCTAGGAGGATAAACCTTTTCAGAGTCTCTGGCTGTTTTACTGATGTAGGTTTCTTACAAAATGGATCATTGTAAGTGTTACGTCTCTCAGTCATACTCATAAATCTTGCACTGAATCTTCTTTATTATTTATATTTTCATCTGGGAATAACTGCAACTTTAAATCTGTAGTGATAATCCTACATATTTTGTTTATTTGGAATGGCATGTAGAACCTTGAGAAAAGCTCTGGGTCTGAACTGGTTCTAAACAGAGAATAAAAAATAACCTCTAGGCAAGTACTAGGGGGATGCCTCTGAGGTTGTAAACTGTAAGAGAGGATCCTGTGCAGCATGGCTTTAAGAATTGATGGATTAAAATTACGGCCTAATAATAGTTCAGATGGGTATAGTTTATTTTTATATATACAATTCATAGCTTACTACCGAATAAAATAAAAGCAAGACTGTTTTTTTTGAAGTTTTGTGGACAGCTTTCATTCTATGTGTGTGTACAACAATTTTTCCATCATCACCTGCTAATACAATGGAGAGGACATATTTCACTGTTATTATTAATCATTGCTTTTAATAATAATAACAAAAGGCTTGCTAACTTCATCCTTTTTTTAATTTTAGTTGTGGGGGCATAGATCATGACATTTTTACAGCTTCTCCTTATTACACTGAAACAGGTCTGCAAAGACAGAAATTTTTAAAACAGTGAGACAGGGAAATCCGTTTGCATTATACACCATTGCAATCATAGATAGCTTGTGAGAAATGGCATCACACTAAGTATTTTCTATCCTCAAGGCACAGTTATCTTTGCTGAAATTCTTTCACATCAAGCTGGAATATTTATGGCTTTATAAGAAAGGTTTGTAACAAAGAGGAAGTACAATGACTTGTTCTTAACCTTGATTTTTATGTGGATCTGTGAATGAATGCCTAGAAAGCCCACTTCTCAAACTTACTTTTCAGTATTACTCTTTGAAAACATTTAATTATTCTGTGTGTTGTTTTACTTGCTGGTGAGTGCCATACTCAGTATAAGTAGGACTTTTTGCTTTCAGGACTGGTAATATTTATTTTGGACTGTGACTAAGCAAATGTAGCATATGAAAAGCATAACCTCTTGTCTTGAATAAGGCACATCTAAATTACACTACTGAAACAAAAGAGTAAAACATAATAGAAAGTATTTCTGAGAAAAATGTAATATTTCTGTGATTTTTTTAAACCCAGGAAAGGACATAAGGAGATAGATTCAGCTATCTCAGAACAACAACAAAAAAATACTCATCTGATTAAGAAACAGTATTCTTGCTTCGAGGCATTTGAACACTTCCCCTAATGATGCCTAATGATGCCTAATGATCCCACAAGGAGAATAGAAGCAGAATAAGACTGATCATACTCCTATTTTTGGTTTAGAAATGAGTACAAATTTTTTTGCTGAAAAGAATGCATGGCTGAGCTTACACTGCTGCTATCATAAGCATAACGGGTGGAGATACTGCTACTGTCAGTTTCTGGAAGTCAAGGCAGAGGCTGGGCTTGGGATGTTGAACAAGGGGAACTAACTGGGATTCAGGGTCCAAAGCAGCCCTTGATGCACATGATTCCAGCCTTGATTCAGTACTTTGGTTCTCTTTGCATGCAACCCTATTTGTGTGATCAGATACAAGAGCTCTCCTCTCACTGCTGCCTGTCTGAGCTCTGGAATTACTTTGCTGTAGTCCCTAGAGTATTATGTGTTTGTGACCAAGAAAGCACTTTTTATAAACTCATTTTAACTGTCCAAATTGGTTTATTTTCTAGTTTTGTGGCATTCTTTACATCTTCCGTATTTATACTTAATAATATACAAATGTTGCATTTAATCTATTAAATCATAAGGTTGTATTTTTATATCTTTTGACATGAAAATTTCATTTTTAAAAATTAAACACTCCAGTATCAAGATATGCCAGAATTAAGATTGTTTGACTTCATGTGATTTAGCTCACTCTTTAGATTAATTTTTATATAGCTTTTAATTACACAGTCACAACTATATTTTTTTTTCTTTTTCACTATCCTTTCTTTAATCCCTATACCACATGGCCTATTTTAGAGACGAAGGTCTGGGAGTCGAGTGACACTGCCATACTGGATCTTACTCCATGTACTGCAGCAGTGAGAAAAAAATGTAGAAGTAAAACCTGTACTTCAGTTTGGATCTGAAAACATGTAGAATAAGAATATGAAAGGTTAGGTAGAGAACCGTGGTACCTAAGAGCTCTAAGCACACTCGTGATATTGTGAACATGGCTCACCATATGTAGTTGGAATGTGGTTCCTGAAGATTTTAGTACTCATTCTACAGATATGAGTATTGTTCTAAAAAAAACCTTTCTATTTGCATTCAGATTGTGTTACTTCCTTTCCTATATTGCCCTGAACTGCAACAGGGGAACATGAAATAATAAGGAAGACTAAAAAATGAACTTATTTAAAATTGAAATGGTTAAATATGATACAAAGAACTGAATGTACCATAGTTATTAAAATGTAAGCTAAAGGAAAATTTGTAATCAAGTTGCTTCCTGCCAGACGTTTTAATGGAAATAAAATATTTCTGACCACTTTGTCTCTTACCCACCCCAAATAACTGGAAATATAAGATAACAGACTTAAAAAATCACAGACTTATTCATGTTGGAAGAGACCTCTCAAGGTCAGTTAATCCAGTCTCCTGCTCAGAGCAGCACCAACTTAGAAGTTCTATCAGGTTCCTCAGAGTTTTAGCCAGGCAAGTTTTAAAAGGCTCCTAGAATAGAAATTTCACAACTTCTCTATTTCTTTAACCACTGTCATTGTGAAAAAATTTCTACTGATAAGCAGCTGAAATTTCTATTGCTGAAATCTGTGACATTGCTTCTTGTCCTTTCACTGTATACCTCTGAGAAGAGTCATGCTTCATCTTTTCTAACACCCCTTTTAGGCTTTTAAATGAAGTTTAGGACTTCAGCTTTCTATTTACCCTTTCTGCAGTTGAATTCCTATTTCCAACCA